AGGCGACTTCTTTGTCGTCTCTCTCATCTCCCTCGTCTCTTTCATCTCCCTCGTCTGGGTCATAGAGTACCTTTGGTAGTTTATGTTCCCCCAAGTGCAGACAAATCACAGTCAACCGGCGCGATTCTCACGCATTTGACGCATGTTCTTGGTGCATACGTAAATCATATTAGTTAATGATAGGTTTGTGTGCCCCATCGAGTGGCGAGTGGCGAGTGGCTTGCCGCGAATCATGCGAAAACCTCATGAGTCAGACGCAAGTCACAAGTCGCAAGTGAGTAAACAAGCGAGTTGCGTTCTAAAAGCCGATCTGATCGATGTGGCAGGCACAGGTTTTGTGGGCCGTCATCGCCGTCATCGCTCTTGATGATTAGGTGCGACTGGCAGCGCATTATTCACACACACAGAGCAACAACAAAAGCACATTTGATGAAGAGAAAAACCATCAAATAAATTGCAATGCGTGCGTACGCCAAATGCCAAGCAGTCGATGCAGATTCGTTGCCGGGCGTAACTCAAAGATTGCATCTGTATCTAAAACTGTTCGAACTGTTCGGCTTGAACTTGCTCTTTGCACTGGCGCTGTAATTAGCGCCGTGGAGCAGCAAGTGGCCAGTGGCCACCCCAGCCTCCAATCGCCTCCATTCGCCTCCAGTTGTCGCCGCTTGCGCATTTATTAATTAAACGCGAAACGCAGACACCCGACATTGGCCATGTGTGCACTTGAGTAGAGCCAAAGCCAGGCCGAATCCAAAATCGAAATCGAAATCCACATCCAAATCGCAGCGAGCCGAAATCAGCTTAAGATATGGGGCTACATAGAAGCCTGCACATCGGCCTTGGTCGGCCTCCGACGCGTTTCGACGTGCTGCGTTTTCATTCATAACACGAGTGTGAGTGTGAGTGCGAGTGCGAGTGCTATTAGTTCGAGTGTGAGTACTCACTCGCCGCCGGAGTGGCAATTTGTTTTATTTGATTGCTGAATTCGGTTCTAAGCGAACCACTTCACTGCTGGCTGACTGTGATGACTCAACAGAATGCGAAACACTTTTACTTTCAGCCGCAGTCAACCCCTCGGGCTTGAACTTTAAAGCCAACGGCATCGATCCAGTGAGATGGGAATCGGAATAGTCTTTGGCTTCGACTGCACTCGACTGCATCTCAGCTCTGACAAATTGCTTGTATCCGCTCAGACAACAACTGCGACTGCGATTGCGCAATAGCCAAAATGCAGACTCCGTGGCCAAAAGGGTAAACATTACCCAACCCAGAAACGCGACTCACTTGCCAAACGGCGATGACGTCAAGTGCGAAGCTAGTCAAAAACTTGACATTTGATAAGTGAGATCTGTCTGAGATCTAATGAAACTGTATCTGAGATACAATCGGAAATTATGTGTGATTTCCAATTATATGATCATGGATTCCTACAATTCCTTGTATCCAAGCGCATCCTCCGATCGACAATGGAATCGTGCTGATGAATGCTTCAAGATTTATTATCTCCACGACAGTTAACATTATAAAGCCTTACTTAGTATAGAAATGATTTAAATACGAGCTGAACTTGATTTCCAGCCGCAACATTTATGACCCCGTTCGAGACTGTAATTAACAGATTTCATTTGGCGATGTTGTTTACAATCTCATCTTGTCCATTTGCTACAATTGGCTATTATAAAGATTTGAGTAAATACGTGCATTGTTTGTGTTTATAAACAAACCGTGTCAGATCCGAATGGAATTCAAATATTTCTTATTTATATATACATACATGTAGATATGGACTTGACCAAAAATTCGCATACACCTCACGCACGATTATTTTATTATTAGGTGGATGACAAACTCTTATGCGTATATTGACATCACACAAAGAACAAATGATTTCGGGAGCGGGTTATAGTGATAACAGGAGCAGGTTAGAGGGAAATATAGAGTCTGAAAGAGACAGAGAATTAAAGCGTAAACAAAGTGAACGTATGACTTATTAGATTGCCAATGTTATTTGCTAATGTGCCACTTGTAAGCATGAGAATCGCAAAGTAGGGCGTTATTTAAAATTACGTTTCAATTAATATGCAAAGCTGCGAGGGCAGTTAACGCATAAGTGACTGTGTTCGGTATAGAAAACTGCCGTTAAACCTCCAATGAGTTGGTTTTCCATGAATCTTCCATGTTTCCCGGATTCATGTCTACGTGTTTGTGTCCTTACAGGGCCTGGGCCACATTAGCGGATGCCACATCAACCCGGCTGTAACAATTGGTTTCCTGGTCGTCGGCGAGATGAGCATCCTGAAGGCTCTCTTCTACATCATCGTGCAGTGCGTGGGCGCCATTGCCGGGGCAGCTGTCATCAAGGTGGCTCTCAGTGGTCTGGCCCCCAGTGGACTGGGCGTTTCATCCTTTGACGCCTCGCTGAATGTCGGCCAGGTGGTGCTGATCGAGGCTCTGATTACCTTCATTCTGGTGTTCGTGGTCAAGGCTGTGTCGGACCCAGGTCGCCAGGACATCAAGGGCTCGGCACCCCTGGCCGTAGGCCTCTCCATTGCAGCTGGTCATCTCTGTGCGGTAGGTGAAACGAGCAGCTGAATGATCCGATCCCAGGCAAATACAACTTTTGTTCTTGTTCCCGCAGATTAAGCTCAGTGGCGCCAGCATGAATCCAGCACGCTCCTTGGGGCCCTCCGTTGTCCAGAGCATGTGGACCGACCACTGGGTCTACTGGGCGGGCCCCATTGCGGGCGCCATTGTGGCCGCTCTCATCTACAGGTTCGTCTTTAAGGTGCGCAAGAGCGACGGCGAGACCAACTCGTATGACTTCTAAGATATCTTATCCGCGTATCCCGCCCTCACCTCTTATTCGTTTGGGGGAGAATCCACATCCTTGTTGTTGTACGTGTTTGTATTCACATTCGTATTCGTCTCATTCACAAATGTGCTGGCACTCTATCGGAACAATCGCACAATCCACAAGCCACTTAGATTAGCGGGCCAAAAGCCGCACAATACAATTAATACAATTTTTATTTGTTGAAAAATAAAAATCGCTTCGTTTTAGTCGTACTAACACCTAAAATATTGAGTATTCTATGTTTGTAGCTTAAGATACATTTAATTCGCATGTTTATTGAAACCAATTAGATACAGCACAAATTCGAGCCTCGAAACGCAGTTTGCTAAACCGAATTCCACATTATTTGTTAAAATTGTTATTGTCTAATTAATAATTATCGAGCACAAATAAACGTATTTGATAAATGACAATTGTATGTGTAATAAAAAACTATCAAAATATTTGCACAGAGTTTCATTTAAGGTGTTCTTAATAAATATTCATAATAATGTGTAATTTTCTTAACCCAGGATGGTTCTTCAATAGCTTCAGAGGCTTACAAGATCCATATGTCTGTTGTGAAATCTGACTAATATTGTATTTTAGTGGAAAAGTTTTTCCTTTTTATGAATATCAATGCTATAGAGCCTTACATTATATAGTAACAGGTAATACATAGACTTTCCTGTTATGAAACAAGTTTTTGTTTATAGCTAATTCGAATTATTCAGTTTATCATTTATTCATTTATTTATCATCATTTATATATTCAACAAGTAAACAATTTCTTTAACATTGTTTTATTAATAGACACATTATACATTATAGAAAACAAATTTTAAATAATTGGATAAGAATCGAATAAGTTCTTGTGTAGCATAAGAGAGCAAAGTTTTTGTTAAGTGTGCCTTAAGAAATATTAGATTCGAATATATTCAATCTGTTCAATCGAAAAGATTCTATTCTATTAGGGTTCTGCTTTTCCTGTTCCAGCTCGTAAAACCTAATTTTGTATTGTCTCGTTTCTGTGATAGCTAGAGATTCCAGAGAGAAGAACGTTTGTGCCACGTTAAAACTTATTTTGTTTTTTTATCTCGCTAAATATATAGATATAGAATGCAACGAATCTGTGAAGAGCGTAATGCCTAGAGTAAATGAATATATGTGTAAATATATTTGCAATTTTAATATTAATAATATAATATTTCAAGAAAAATTATGGTCTGTTAGTCTCAAAACATGATTTAGATACAAATATTGCATACTTCTTGGCATGATATAAAATTCCAGCTGTCCACTGCCAGATTATATTCGGAGTAATTAAAATATGTTGCATGCTTTCGGGCAATCACGGGATATTTATATTTCTGGTCTGGCGTGGAAGGGAAATTTTGCCCAAGAAAGTCTTATCTCATTAAAGTTTCAAAAATGTTTCTGTTCCATAGAAAGTACTTCGCTTAGGTTTTTATAATGCCAGGCTCTACTGTAGACGACTTTATGTACTTTACATGTTGCAAATAGCAAACGTAATCTAAAAGTGACCTTTGCAGTTTATTCACAATGCATTAAATGTAAATATCCCTTGATGGGATTACGTGCTAATTGAAGTTCAATAGCAGTTCGATTTGCATACGAGGCTTGTTGCATTCATTCATTTATTCGCAATTTTTTTGAAAGCAAAAGTTCTTTGCGTCATCAGCGTTTGCTGGCATTATGCGGGTGCAGGCAACAACAACAGCAACAACAACAACAACAGCAGCAACAACAACAACAACAACATAATGCTAAATATTAACTCTATTAAAAACGCGACAATATATATGTTACAAGGTAAGTCGCGCACGCGTGCTCATCCACCCGCAGGTAAGCAATTCAAGCGGTACTCGCTTGTGGGTTTCACTGCTGATAAGCCGACGATTTCCTCTTGCCCTTCGCCTTCCCCTTGCCCCACACTGCCCACAGCCATTAATGAGTGCTACACTTCGAGAAATGCACCATAGCTTTTGCAACTTAAGCGAGTCGCCGCACTACGCCAAGAACAGAGCTAAAAACATATTACTCATACGTTTTCCACGAATGGCATAAGTAAATTTAATAAAATGTTCACTGCCGACTAGCACAGGCAGCGGCAGCAGCGACGACAGTTGATGCCCGGCCCGGTGCTCGACACGGGATCAGTCTGAAAAGCAAGCAGCACACGACAGCACGGGCAATTGACTTTGTAAAATGCAAGTGAAGTTTAAGTTGCAGCTCTTGTGCCTGCTCTGGCTGATGATGCGCAGCCAAGTGCACGGACAAGACATTGAGCCCGAATTCCCAGAGGACTTTCCCACAACCACAACCGAGGCTCCCACAACCACCACAACAAAGGCAACAACAGAGCTGCCCACCACCACAACAGAACGAACCACAACTGAAGCAGACACAGAACCACCTACAACTGCAATATCCACCACCACCGAGGATGTGCAGATCAGCTTGCCAGATCTGCCGACCTTTGCACCGCCAGAGCTACCTCCCTCTACTAGGCCGCCAGTAGCACCACATTACCCGAACTTTTTTCCCTGGTTCTGGGACTTGGTTCAAGGTGTGCTGCAGCGCTGTTATCTAACGGAGCAGGAGGAGCGCACGCATTACCGATGGACCTGCGGATGTAAGTAGAGCGCGCGCGATATCGCGGGTCAGACCCCAACCCAATGAAATATATTCCAATTCGATTTCGCAGACACCAGCTGGCTGCCAACAACAACCTGTTATCGCTGCTGTTACTACGGCGACAGCGGATTTGCCGGCTGCAGTAAGCTGCACAGTGGACGCTGTAACAATATAAACTACGGCAGCTGGGAGACCTAATCTTCGCAAATGGGTATTACCCCTAATCGAAAGAGGGAGAGAGTGAGAGCGGAAGTGAGAGGTGGATGATTAACTAATCCAACATCGCTTAAAATTGTAGCACTAAATAGTTCGAGACATTTTTTCAGCAAATTAAATATATATATAAACAATAAATATTCATTAAAAGTTATGGGTATTCGCTAGACTCTAGCAGTTCGATTAAGTATTTTATTTAATGGGCTTCATATTCTACTCTAACCACAAGTAGGGGCTACATTTAGTTCAGATTGTAGACATTGCCCAGGTTCAGGAAACAGTCCTTCAAATGCTGCTGACACTCGCAGAAGTCGGGGAATGGGGGCGCCAACACCTCGTACATGATCCGTAGCAGGTCGACAAACTTGTTAAGCGCCTTCGAGTAGTCGCCGGTATCGTAGAGTCGCTTGGCGGTGCGCGTCATCATTTCGGTGTCCTGCATGACCTTGAGGCCCTTCAGGATGTTGGTGATCTCGCCGCAAGTGACGCACTTGATCATGAAATCGTTGCAGGTGGGCGGCACCTCAATGATGGCCGCGCAGTTGTTGGGCGCCTCGCAACGGAAGCGTATAATGTCCCTGGGCAGCTCCTCGAACAGCGGCCAGCTTTCCAGGCAGGCATCGCAGTTGCACTCGAACCAATAGAGATCCTTTAGCCGGGCCTGACGATCTTCACGCCTGTCCTGCGTGTAAATGGGTCCGTAGTTCTCGTTAATGGGCAGGCCCGCCTCGATGGGCCGCACGCTGTTGATGTGGATGGTGGTGCCCCGGAAGTACCTGACCACGCCCGGGTCGCAGGAGTGGTTGAAAAGTGCCAGCGTCGGGTATATAGCTCCGCCAATGAAGATGGATTTCTCCCTCCTCTCGGCCTGGAACTTGTGCAGCTCGGCCACCTCGTGGGTATTGAACTGAATAAACTGCAGACTCCGCAGCAGCAGCGCGCTGATGGCGCTCACCTGCTCCGGCTGCGGCTCGCTGCCGAAGTAGCCCGCCGACTGCAGGCATTTGGTCAGAAAGCGCGCCATCAACACATACTGAAAGAAGTTTGACGGTTGCCGCTGCCCCTCATGACGCTCCAAGTGGGCCACGCGCCGAAAGTCGTCCTTGGGCAGGCTGCAAAGATGGAGAAAAATAGATTTAGAATTCGTGGCAGCTGTGTCTATGCCCACCCCAATAGCTGCTCCAGCGACAGCTCCTCGTCAAGGCTCGACTTCAGCTGCAGAAAGTAGTCCAGCGGCTTGCTGGCAATGATGCGCAGGGCCATGTGATTGTTGATGGAGGCGCCGGATCGCCAAATCACCGGCAATATGCCGCACTCGTACTTGTGGTACTTGGCAGACGCACGCTCCTGGCACTGCTCCGAACAGTAGATGACATCCGAGCAGCCCGGACAGGCCACTGGCACCACGGTTCTGAAAAATACGGAAGAAACATAATATATAATATATATTTCCGCTGATTTCATAAAACATAGCCATACTAAGGGGAAATAGGAGTGAAAAGAAAGACCCATATTGAAATTTGTTTATTTTATTTTCTATCTGAACATTCACTTACCGGACAAAGCAATATTCGCAATGAGTCTGGGCGAATTTCTCGAGCAGCACAGCGACGTAAGGATGCTCCACTAGCAGCTCCTGGCCCACCTGGACGTCGGCAGCGGCGCGAGCAAATCGTCCCTCCTGCGAATTCTGGTCGATGCGAACCAGAGAGCTGACAAATTCCTTTTCCTCCGGCAACGTGTGTGCCTGCTCTAAGACGTTGGCGTTCTTCAGCTTCAGCTGCCTGGCTGCTTGCTTGCCCGTGCGCGGATCATGCTCTAGCATCTTGATCATGGTCATGGCATCCAGATGCAGCTTGGAGCGCCTGTCGGCGGGCAGCGTAGAATCGTCCATGGCAGTGATGCACTTTCTGCAAATAAAACCAAATGTTAGGCTAGCTTTTGTGGACACGGCCGTATCACCCACTTGAAGGCGCTGATCGTGCGTGGATAGTCCTTCAGAGCCATGTAACAGCGAGCCTGGCGCTCGTACAGCTTGTAGATGAGCTCTTTGGGATACTCCAGCTCCAGAGCGCGTCTGATATCCACCAGGCACTCGCTGTGTTTCTGCATGTGGTACAGCGTGGCCGAGCGATTGGCCAGCGCAATGGAACGCTCCTGGACTGGTGGGGAAACGGGATATAATTGATAAAGTGGCCCACAAAGTGGAGGCAGCTACTCACCCTTGTCATGCGGCAGCGCCACATAGCTCCGGCTGTAGAGCAACATGGCCTCCAGCCACTTCTTCTGCTTGAATGCAGCCGTGGCACGTTCCTTCAGCTCCGCTGCGACGGTTGCATTTTTTCCGCTGAACTCGCGCTGCACTTGCAGGTCCGCATCCCCCGCACGCACCCAGGCCAGCTGGTCCACGTAGGCCACGCGCTCGTCATCGTTGCCACATGTTGACAATTTGGCGATGTCCGCCTCGCAGCTGGCGCCGCCCGCTTCCCTCAGCTTGAGGTAGTACTCGGCAAAGAAGCCTTTCTGCTGGCTAAGTGGCATTTTCATGGCGTTAACTCAATTTTATAATTGAAAATCAGATAAAATTCTTAAATTATGCAAGTAGTGAAAATTTCCGATTCGCCTCTATCGCCGATGAATACTGCAGTCGCACTGAACAGGCCTCAACGTGTGGTATCCAGAAAACGGACGGGCCTTTTATTTTTAGATCGAAAAAGCATGGTATTCAGAACACCAGAGCAAGCAGAGCATCAGTGCGATTGTGCGAGATACAGAGAACAAGATTCGGCTAGACGAAGCTACATTTGTTTACAAACAAATTTTCGAAGCACTTTCCGATGCTCTTCGCGTTTTTTTTTCAAACAACCGGCAACGCAAAGTGAGGAACAGAAAACACCGCAGCAGCGCCTATCGGAATTTCCCCCCGCCAACCTGAGAAGGTGAACAGTTGTTCATACACGAAATAACATAAGAACACAGTTAATATTATTAAAAACTGGCTAAATTTAGCCGCCAAATAAAAGTCAATTATAGAGGTAGGCTCTCGCTATATATGATGCCAGTTATTTGGCGCATGAGCACTATTCGCCTCTTTAGCTCAGTGGCAGAGCACTGGTCTTGTAAACCAGGGGTCGTGAGTTCAATCCTCACAGGAGGCATAGTTATGAATTTCGTAGATTTTTATGTTATTTTTTTTTTATTTTTATTGTTTCGAGATGACCTGGATAACTGTCGAATTCCATTAAACTTACGCAAATACCTAATATTCTGTTGTACATCTTGGGGGGAAAATGAAGAAAAACGAGGGTAACTAATACATATTGTACTTTAATTTCTTATTATGTTGAAGGATTTGTATTCATATTAGAGTATAGCTAATTCGAGCTAAATTAGTGAAAATAAACTAAAACTATGAATTAGAAAAGCAAATAGTATAATTCTCGTTGCTGGAGTAGCAACGGAAATTACTTGGATCTAAGCCACACAAATCATTTGTGTCACAGCTGTATGAAGAGGCAAACTTGGGGAAGGTAAGCAATTAACAAACAATAGTACATTTGGGATAATAAATCTGTTAATTCTGTTATTGAAATAAACCATGTTAATTAAATATAACAATAGCAAAGTATTTAAAAATGTTCACCAAATCTTATTTTGTTTAATGTACATATTAAAACTAATATTTAAATTAAAAAAAAATGTACTCGAAGAATTGCCTCCTGTGAGGATTGAACTCACGACCCCTGGTTTACAAGACCAGTGCTCTGCCACTGAGCTAAAGAGGCATGAGCAACGCGCCTCGCTAAAACCGATGATAAGATCAACACCTCTGCACAGCTCGGCAACGCTTCGTCATCGTCTGATATAATTGCGTTGCTCGGGGGCTGTTTGAACAGTTGGCGGCATGTACGAGACGCAGTTCCAGTGGGGGGCGTTAGCCAATTTGAAGACGTGTTAATGCTATCTGCGTTAATTTTATGTCTGTTGATGCCAAGCCAAGCATTATCTAGCATCAGCAATTGCCTTGGAAATGGAACCAGCAGCAGCAGCAGCAGCTGTCGAGCTCGTAGGAAGGTTGCCTCTGCTGCTGTCTGCATTTGTTTTGTTCGACTAATTAAGACAAGTCGGTTCTGGAAATGTTCCAAATGTCAGCTAGGTGTAAGTGTGTACTTTCAAGCAGCAATTTGTTATGGTAACTTGTAGGCAAAATAAAAAAAACTTGGCTTTGGGTAGTTATGTATCTGTATCTGTTACGTGGGAAGCCAGGGCCCGTAACTTAATTGTTTCATCTGAGCTGACAATACAAAAGGTCGCAATTTATTGGATTTATTTGTACAAGATTATCATTTTCAGGGTTAATATGAGGGGATCTGGGGGACTAATTTGTTTAGAACGAGTAGTTTGAATTGTTAGAAGTTAAACCAATACAATTGTAAAAAAAAAATAAAATAATATAAGAAAAGTATTTTTTCTAAGTTAAATGTTACGTGAACTTTGGACTTGACGTAGTGACGTAGGGATAGAGAAGTTTAATCGGCTAGTCGACCCAGCAGTACAGTTCACCCGTAATTACCGTATAAATAAATAATACACCAAGAAGGAAGATTGATCATCAGAAGTCTACTGGAGTATGACGGTAACCGCACACGAGGATCCCAATTGATCAAGAACTGTTTCTGTATACAATTAATTCTGTCTTGATGAATAGAATATGGTGGCAACCGATACATGAGGTATACTCCAGGATTGGTCGTGCCATAAAGGATCTTCTTAATATTTTCGAAGCGTATAAAGCATCATGACTGTACTCCAAGCCAAAAGGTATATAAAAAGCAATTATTTTTGAGCAATTGTAGTAGTTGCATTCGTATACACGTTTATAAAGGTAAATTATGCAGCATGGCCATATCAAGTTACCCCGCGACAGCCCTTTTGCTATTGAAGTTGGATGCGTTATGCAAATTTGCGTGTCGCATAAAAGGTGAAATGCGTAAATTACAGTGTCAACATTACAACGCCCACTTTTCTTTACATTTACGTAGTTTTTCGGGTAAGTATTCCAAGGGTAGGGTGGTGGTATACCGCTGTGAAAATGCATTATGCAAAAGAATGGAACGCGATA